TATATATAATATATGTGCTTTTGGTTACAAGAATTATGATTTATGGGTGTTTCTTGGTGAAATAATATATGTGTGATATGATATACATAAATGATAAGTACAAGATCAGGTGATAAATAATTGGATGATAATGATAGAAATAGTTATAATAATATATATGATAATGCTAAGAAAGTAGATGATGATATATGTACATAAGTGTATTTGTTATATAAAAAGGTGCGTGATTTTGTATGAAATTGTTATATGATTTTGTATGATAAGTTAGTATTAAATGTTCATGTGGTTTGTTATATGGAATGTTTTATGATTTCTATTATATGTTTTATTTGCCTCACTAAGTCATCGACTTAGCGTGTGATTGTTTCACACGTAGGTTCGAGAATAATATAGAGAGCATTGGGGAGCAAGACAGGTCAGTATCTCATTTACAAAGTTCAGATCAGAAAATATATGTATTTGGCATGTAAATAAAAATTTGAATTCGATATACTCGAATTGGTTTTGTAAAATCATATGATACTAATTTATGTAAATTATTCAATTGTATTTAGTAAAAGTTTTAAAATTATTCACTATTTTGTTCAAGTAAAGGTTTTGAAAAGTCAATGTGACATCGAACTCGTAACCGGGTCAGGTACGGGTTGGGGGTGTTACATGATCTCTTCAAGAGATTCAAGCTAACTCGTTCAGAGTTAATCTACGAGATAGATGGTACGGCTGTGGGTTTTTTCAAGCTATGAAGTATCCATGCTCTCATGTTATAGAAGATTGCTCGTATACGCGTCAAGACTATAACTGTTTTGTGGATCTCGTATACCTACTTTTAGAAGTGTTTAAGGTATATGAATTTGAGTACCCCCATAGGTAATGAGAAATACCCTAATGAAGTTCAAAATTGGCTTCCGATTGTTCCAGATCCGTCCTTATTGAGGGAGTCTGGTCGTCCAAAATCCACTTGAATTCATTGTGATATGGATATTCGGGACCCATTCAAACTAAAACAAATATATATAATTCTTATCAAAATAATAATCTAATTATATAACGATAATTAAAAGTACATTTTGTTATTTAAATACATACATTTGTGCCAACCTTCTTATTAATGAGTAGCCTAATTTCTTCTAATTTATCAAGTAAATCCCAATGATCTTTTCTTGCACTTGACCACCTATTCAATGAAATAATTTTTATTATATACTAAATAAAATTATTAATATACGAAATCAATATTGTAATTACCTCAATAATAGCACAAAGACCAATGGGTTTTTCACCATCGAACATAAAAAGAGCATGTGATACCACGCCCAAGACTGGAGTAGAATGAGACATCAATCGATAGCATTTTTTCTATAGTCAGTAGCTCGACACATTTCCCTATACCGAAATGCCACTACGGAGCCCCAACTCAGTGTGCCAACATGATGAAATTCGGCGAGGTGACGCAACCACATACAATGAACTTGGTTGCATGATTTGTCCAGCATCAGGAGCCTTCTTATGAGTTGTAGTATGTAAGCTCGTGCATAGATTTTAACATGCTCATTCGAGGCGTCGCAACTCAAATGCTTGAAAGTTGCATCTAACCAATTTAATGGAATATGAGATATGATGTCCATCTAAACGTAACAGATCGCCTTTCATTTTATAACTACAAAAAAAATAAAAAGTTAATATAATAAAATTTAATAAAATAATAAAATATTAATTTATTATAATACAATAAAATATTTTTACATTCTTAATATAATTTGAGTTTTACGAGAATTTGAACAGGTTTAAGCTTTGAGAGGGTTTGAGCTTCTTAATAGAATTTGTGTTTGATGTGTGTTTGAATGAAGAATGGAGGGGGTATTTATAGGGATAGAGGATGGGGTTTAGCTAGATGGGGTATTAATGTGGGAGGTGTGAACAGTTGGGGTAATAATTCACGCCTTACTGGCGCGTGTCAAAAACCTCAGATAGGCATGAATCGTCCTTACATGTCGCCATCTCGGATAAGGAGTGGATGACCATCCGCGCCTTTCATGAAGTAGTGCCAGCTTGGACGAAACCCCACAAAGGACCTTGTCAGAAATGGTGCTAGATTGGTAAATTTTGGAGAAAGACCTGTCATGATGATATTTCGGTAAAAAAATACGATATAGTATCCTATAAAAATAATAAAAATTGTAAATTTATTAATATTTGAATCTTGTCAATAATCTTATTTAGTGAGAAATCAGAGACTATCGTTATTAGTGCTCTTTAAAAATAAGATATTTTAGGGTTTGTTCGGATGAAAGCTTTTAAAGAAATATTCGTTTATTTTTCTCTATTTTTAAAATATTGAAAATAAAGTTTCTTATTTAATAAAAGTTTATAATGGAGTTAAAAAGGATAAATTTGATAGAATAATCCTCGCGCTAAAATTATTTTGAGATATACAACTAGTGAGAAATTATCTAGGAATTTATAATATTTATTATAATGAATTGGAAATTTATCACGTGAGCATGATGAATTCTATAAAATATAATATTTTATTAGAACTCATCATGTAACAAATATCATATATCCTAAATGAATTTTCAATGGGCATATTTTTCTAATTGTTTTTCCACACACACTATAATTTCCTAATTTTGCCGTTAAAAGTGAATTTTGATAGTTCAAATCACTTATTTAAATCTCAGTTAATTTTTTAAATTTTTTCCAAGCTTATTTCATTCAACGCACTTGATCCCCTAGAATTAAAAAAATAAACTTTTAAATTATAACTTTATTTAATTATATTATATATATATGGATAGTTTTGATTTTTATTACTTAAAGAAGCTGAAAAACCTACTACAACCAAACAGAGAAAAAAATCAATCATCATAGTCTTACAATAATCTCCCGGTAAAATGGCTAAGATAATGTAAGAGAGATTTTTTTAATTCCCAATATAATCTACCCGGGGATTATTTCCCCATATATGGTGAATTGAGCAATATCAACCTAAAGACGTCAAGTGCTCCACGCGTCTTCAAGCGAAATATGAAGACTCCACGATTACATGACATCTTCAGGTAAATGAAGAACACCCCACGACTGTATGTCGTCTTCAGGTAAATTGAGAAGACCCCTTGAATGCACGCTGTCTTCAGACCAATAAAAAGCCCTAGTTCATGAAATAATATGGTGATACCTTATATGGGAAAAATATTTTTCCCACAACCCTATATAGGCAAGGAAGCCATAACATCCTAGTAACACAACAGAAAAACTGGCAAAATGGATGAGATAATGTAAGTGGGATTTTTTAATTCCGAAAATAATCCAACTCGGGAATTATTTTCCCATCTAGGTTGAATTGAACAGTATCAATCTAAAGACGCCAGGTGCTTCACGCATCTTCAAGTTAAATATGAAGACTCCACGACTGCATGATGTCTTCAGGCAAATAAAGAAGATCCCACGACTGCATGGCGTCTTCAGGCAAATTGAGGAGACCCCAAAAGTACACGACGTCTTCAGGCCAATAAGAAACCCAAATTTAAGAAATAATTTGATGAATACCTTATATGAGAAAATTATTTTTCCCACAATCCTATATGAACGAGGAAGCCCAACAAAACTACTACCTAACAGATGAAGAAAACAACACACAATGCTTACAAAGATATGCCTCAAGCAGCACACAACACAACTGAGTCTGAGAGTTAATATGATTAATCCTATTAATGCGTTTCCTGCTAAACTGGAAGCCATTGACCTTCCTGATCAGAGCCCCTGAAAATTTTGCAGTTACGCTCAAACCACACAAAATATAAATGGGCACTCCAAGTCACCTTCATGATAAAATCAAAGACCTGCCCTTGAGAAAATGAACAACACACAACAACTCATGGTCCCATGACATAACATGTTACAGAATGTAAATTATTTTAGTTATACAACTATTGAATGAGTGTAAATCATGGTTGAGATTAAAAGTTGAAAATAAAAATATTTTTTGTATAAAAAAATCACAACCATCAATTTACGTCCAACTATCCTAAATAAACACAAAAATAAAAGGGGTCTTGGAACAAAGACAGAAAAGAGTAGGGAGTCAAAATGTAATATAAAAAACATAACCTGGGAAGTGGCGGAAGGCCCCTCGAATTCTTTGCGGAGGTTCTTTATTAAGTTTGACTTTTAACATAGTCCATTTTGGTCTGGTATAATGATTGACCAATGATTAATAAATGATAATTATATTTAATTTATACAGGAATTTATAAAACGTGATGTTTTTTTTGGGGAAAAGTATTTAGAAAAATGACAGGCTAAATATGTTCAATTATTTTAGTGATCAATTATTTCTGAAAGAGAGAAATTTTTAAATAAGATTATTAAATAATTATTTAATATATTTATCGTCATACGTAATGTAAGGATAATTATAGGTTGAATCGAGTTATGCTTAGTTTAAATTCAAATAAAATTCGAGTATTATATCATTTTACTCAATTTGTGTGTACATACACAAATCAAGTGGTCTCAATAGTTGAGGGATAATTGTTATCTCTTGAGGTATATGGTTCGAGAACGATATCTAGAGAGATGTTTATCTGTTTATATCAAATAATTGAGAGTCTTTCGAACATATATTACTCTTGTATTTGCTTCATAGTTCATACTAATAAAAAAATCTCAGGACTGTTTTGTGTTTTTCTTATTTTGAATTTAAAGAATTATTCTCTCTTAGTATTTGGTCCTAGTTACATCCTAATAATATAAACTAAAAAATCATAAAAGAAATAAATAATATAAATTTATAATTTAGTTACATTATCTTAATAACCCAAAATTGTGTTTTAATTTTTCACTAAATTATAGTTACAAATTCGTTATCTAACATGTTTTCATTCGGTAACCAACCCTAGCTATTTACATACATGTTGCCATGTACTCTTTGCGTTTGGCTATTTTTTTAAGTTTAAAACTATACTATGCTCCAAAAGCAAAATTTTCTCTAAAAAATGGTACAATCTAAGATCTTAGATTTATTCGGACAAGTCGAGTCCATGGGCGGGGACGTGCATTTCAGCTCCCCATTGCCGCATCCGTTCTGATGCTTGTTCAACCTGTACAAAGGACCGATCCATGTTTAGATTTTGACGAGCTTCGCTCAATATTCATTAATGTTTACGAAAAAAAGGATGTCCCACCTCTGTGTTCCAATTAGTTTTGTAGATAATATACAAGAGGATCAGCGTCTGCAACAATGTCCCACAAATCATGCCAATCCAGATTCCCTGCAAGAACAGTGACCCGTTAGAAATGTTGAAAATCAAATGAAAAATGAGGTATTCTTGGTGAGAAGAAGATGAAATGACCTCCACCCCGAAATGGGTACGATAACCGAGGAAAAATCCAAGTGGGAGGCCAACAATGTAATAGCAGAACAAGTTTATATAAGCTACCAAGGCTTGCCAACCTCCTCCCACGGCAACACCTGCAGTAGCAAAATGATGTCACAAGTTATTTGACCTCACAAATGCTGGATTTTAACTTGTGTTTGGGGCATGGGATTTCAATTCAAATGCTGACCCGATATAACTGGCTGCACGCTGTTTAGCACCATGGTTATGCAGAGCAGATGAGCCAAACGAGCCACGCCCTTTTGCATCTCTATACTTTCCGTAAAGACAACAGCAAATTTGTTTCGAGTATTCCAGATTAACATTGCAGAAAGTATTCCTATGAGAAGAGATTGTACAACCGTGATTACCACTGAATATTTCGCGGCTCTAGGATGTGCTAATCCGAGTTCATTAGACACTCTTACACTGAAAACAACAACAACCATGTTCAACATCAGTTCTCCAAAGGGACAGGGTTTAACATATGAAAATTGTTGGAATTTTTGGGGGTTACCTTATGGCTGCATTTATTCCTATAAATAACATGCCTTCCCAACCATTGATGTTCATGCTGAAACATTGAGTTGAAAGAAACTCAATTAATTAAAAACAAAACAGAGAATTAGAGTAATGATTGTGATATGAATACCAGATAGAAAGAGAGCCGACTGCGATGATGGGATCTTCAAGGTGACCGGTGAGAACAATTATCATCATGAAATACCAAACTTCTAAGCAAAGCATCACGGCCGAAGCTATAGAAAGTTTGGTGAAACCCCAAAGATCCTTAAAAGCTAACCACGATAGCCCGGTCCAACCATCCTTGCACCAGCATACCACATATACAAGTTGAGCCAGGGCAACCAACCAAGCAGAGATGTCGTAAGCCACTGCCGCACCTATAGTACCCCACTTGAACACGATAACCAGGAGGTAAATTATCACAATATGACCAATGAAAGCAGCGAAGCCTATCCAGGCCAAGACCCCAACCTTGCTTTGTGCCTGTAGGAACTTTTGCGTTGGGAAATTGATGGCCAATGAGAACATTTGAGGTAGAACTTGCATGGTGAAATCTCCGGCGAGATCTACGATTCCGGGCTCTTGTCCGAGGAGTTTCAAGAGTGGGGTGGCATATAAGTAGAGCGGCAACAACACGAAACACGCCCCAAATGAGATTATCCACAACTGCTGCATGTATACGCCTAACATTTCTATTTGTCCTGCACCAAATGCCTGCCCGCATAGCGTCTCTAATGCACTCGCCATTCCAAGCTGCAGATTCAATGAACAATTGTAAAGATTTTGCTCTAAATAGAGGACATACAACATTAGAGAAGCTAACCATGAAGCCAAAAGAGAAGTTTGCGATGACAGATAAAGCAATGGCGACAGCCGAAAGCTCAATATCACCGATATGTCCGGCAAAGATATTGGTGAAGGAGTTGATCCCATAATTACACCAAATATTGAATGCAATAGGAGTAGCTATGGACCATAGCTTGGAGGACTCGATATGCCATATGTTTTTCGCATCGGCAAAGCTTTGTATCCGAGGATAATCCCCTGCCTCGATGATTAAACACGTCGGTGCCGGATGCAGCTCCGTAATTTCGAAGGGGGAGATCCGTGATGATGCACTGCCAAGTTGATCCTCCATAAGTTTCTGCGTAAGAGATGAACTCCTTAATATTTGCAATTTTGGCTCACTTTGAGCCCTTTGATTCTTCTGGTTTTATGTTCGATTTTGCGGATTCAAGTGAGTCAATATGAAGAAAAATCACTCTCTAACTATATATATTTTTTAAAAATAATTTATATATTTGCTTTTTTTGGAAGTTTACAAAAAGGGTATCAGCAGGTGATGGATTTTGGCTATAAACTAGGATGACCATGGAAACAAATCAGCATCAAACAAGAGGGAAGGAGTGAGTTGACTGAGTCTTAGCCTCTCAAGCCTTTAGGACAAGCATTATTCATCATCTTCAATTGGTCTGCTTATCATTAATATAGTTATTTTCTGTTGCTGGAGGAGGGGTCCCGTATCTTGTGCTGTGCAAGCCCTGAAATAAAGCTGTGTAACGTGTAGACTAGTCCACGGTTTAAATGAGAATATGTCATAACTTTTAAGCTTCTGGTTCAAAGGCTTAAACGTGTAGACTAATCCACGGTGATGTATATTTGGGCTACATTCCAAAATTGTCAAGGTTTCGTTTCCCCACAGATCAACCAGAAACGTCATTGAGCTCTTTGTAAATGAACACTTTGAGATTCAACCCCGGGAAAACATCATCACCATCTTTTCCCTTGTTCTCTACTACAAAATCACTCCCATGAACCCCAAAGCAACAATAGACCTGCCGACCAAAACCTTAGTTTTGAACACATTGTTCTTCACTACTCTTACCACCCTAACATAAAAGACATTCTTATTTGAACCATATGTTCCTCAAATTCAACAAAGTCCCATGCACATTCTTACACAGATTAGTCCCCCCATCATGATACATTCCAATACAAGAACATGTACTGAAACAAGACTTCTCACAAAGTACCTCTAAACAACACTGTATTTCCTCCATCGAACCTTACATCACCAAGCTCCTTAAACCCATCATTATCACCACAAAATCCATCGCTTTCTCGTCTGCAACCTCTAGTAAAATCCCCATAATTCCAACCAACTTCATCAAAAGGCCTATATCCGTTAAGGCAATCACAAGATTTTAACACTGCACTCACAGAGCAAGATTTAGGAAATTACAGTATTAGCACTTCCCTAATTAAAATTCTTTTTTTACCAAAAATAAATAAATGGTTAATGAAAATGGTTTTGCGAGATGAACATTGAATCGCCTGTGGAGGGGCCCTATCCCTACCTGCTTTAATTTGATTTTACCATTAGTTTTCTGGTGGTTGCGAAAATATAAGAAATTTGACGTTATCTTTTAATATTTATATTACATCATATAACATTTTACAATTTTTTACATGATATGAACTAACAATATATAAATACTAAAGGAAAGATAGATTACACTGAGGAATTCTGGTTTTAATCTTAAGAATTCAAATCAACATTTTTAACTTAATAATTATCACTTTTTTTTTCCAAATAATCTTCAGCGGTTCAGCATTAAGAACGGAAACCTTGATCCGTGTACATTAACAACGTACAATTTTCACTAAACTCGTGTAAAAATACTAATGAAAAAATAAAGCCTTTTTGGACTAAGGCAACAAATTTACAATTCGGCAACCGACCTGTACTCACTGTAAAAATCGACGGACCCGGAAGCTGCCCAGAGCCGGTGATTAAACTCCTCCTGCAACTCATCAGGCACAAACGGTGTCCTACAAAGCGGGCACGTTATCTGATCTTGGTCCATCCAACGGTCCAAACACGCCCTGTGGAAAACATGCCTACAGTTCCTCAACCACCTGATCTCTTCCCCCTTTTCGAACTCATACATGCAAACTGCACAACTCTCCGGTGGATACCCTTTCACCACCACACGCTCCTCGTACTTTATAACCGGAAGAATTTCCCGGATCAGGAGAACGGACACGGGCGTTTACTCGGTCGTCGTTCGTGTCGGGCTTTCCGGCCAGACGGTGACCGTTTCGAGGATTTCGGAGAGTCCGAGATAGTTAAAAAGTGAAACAATTAACTTCCGGATAAAACCCAGAAATGAGAGGGCGTGAACTAATAATTTTGGTAGGAAGAACACTTCAGTGTAACCAACCGGAAACCCCGTAAATAAACAAATAAAATCGAAACTATAAAGAGAAAGCTTCGTTTTGCGTATTTATAGAGAGTCAAAAGGGGGGGAAAACGAGTGAGGGATAGACGCACGAGAGGAAACTTATGTTATTTTCAGCTACGAATTCGTGTGGAGGGGTAGTTTTGCGGTACGGCGCCTAAAAAACGGTTAATATATGGTGTGACCGGTTAAACAAGTGATCGGTTAAAATTTAGACCGGTTATGTTATATTATTTAACCGGAAATATTATAAAGTACAATAACATACTAGGTAGCGCTTATATAATGTAATAGGTAGCGCTTATATTTACGTATTTTATAAGTAAACTGGTATATTTATACCGATAGCATTACAAATTTACCTATTACATTATATTATATTGAAAGTGTCCATACTTTTTATAAAAAAGATCGATATTTCTTTTAAAGTTATGTAATTTATGTTTCAATTTTTTTTAATAGTGTTTCATGTTTTCCACCTACAATATTAATTTAATAATTTCATTTGTACAAAAAATAATTTGATTGTTTTGATATTTTATAAAATATTATTTAGAATTTTTAATTTAATAATAATATATATCGTAACGTAAAAAATAAATCATTAGACGCCTATAATTACTAAATTAATATCTTAAAACTCACTCAAAAGATAACCTTAAATTAATGTTTTCCACAGTGAGCATTGCAAATTTACCTATTACATTATATTATATTGAAAGTGTCCATACTTTTTATAAAAAGGATCGATACTTTTTTTAAAAGTTATGTAATTTATGTTTCAATTTTTTTAACAGTGTTTCATGTTTTCCACCTACAATATTAATTTAATAATTTCATTTACACAAAAAATTATTTGATTGTTTTGATATTTTATAAAATATTATTTAGAATTTTTAATTTAATAATAATATATATCGTAACGTAAAAAATAAATCATTAGACGCCTATAATTACTAAATTAATATCTTAAAACTCACTCAAAAGATGTATATACCTAAATATGTAGTTAACAAACATACCTAAATATGTAGTTATTGTACATACCTAAATTTAATGATAATATACTTGTAGTTATTGTACATACCTAAATATGTACTGCGAATTTAATGTTGTACCCACCCTTTAACTACCACTACCAATGCCACATCCTATTGAAAGCAGCACGACAAAAACATGTTCAAAATGAACCTTTGTTTACATCTCCATAAACTCCTGGAGCACTGAACTTGCACAACAAAATTTTTGCCATGGATAATACTGATGTAGACAATGTTAAGCCAACCGAGGAATGCCATGAAGTACATAATGTTGATGAATCTGACAGATTGGTTGGTCAGCTCTTCTGTTCACGTGATCAAGCTTGGCACTTTTACAAGGGATTCGCACGGGAACATGGGTTTAGTGCACGTAAGGGAACAACACGGCTTGACGTGGAAGGGAATGTGAAGACACAAGAATTTTGTTGTTTCAAAGAAGGGTTTCGAGTATCAAAAGTCAATACTGTTGATCGTCAACGTGCTCATACGCCAGTCACAAGAACAGGATGTAAGGCTAGAGTCGTAGTTACAGCAACAAATACAAACGATCAGTGGGTTATAAGTAAGTCTGATCAGAAACATAATCATGCATTGTGCACATCTGCTATGACACCATTTATGCGTTCTAATAGAGCTGTAAGTAAGGCTGATATCGATGAGGCAACAACATTGAAAGAGGTCGGTGTTGGCACGTCACAAGTAATGAACTATTTAACGCAGCAGGCAGGGGGCTATCATAATGTTGGATTTACACATAAAGACCTCTACAATGCACTTCAAAGAGGTAAAGCAAAGGAAATCGTCGATGGGGATGTGAATGCGCTTATTGCCTACTTTGATTATAAGAAACATGATGATCCCGGGTTTTTTATGACATACTCGGTAGACGAATCGGGGGCATTGTATAATCTTATTTGGTCGGATTCTACATCGAGATCGGATTACACATGCTTCGGTGATGTAATTGCGTTCGACACAACGTACAAAGATAATTTGTATGGTCGAGACCGTTGGACTTCCGTGTCGCCATCAACTTCACATTTTGAAGCAATTGGACTACACATATTTGCCCGAGACTTTGATTCAAAGTAGGTGGACTAATGATGCGAAGGCTTCTGCACCCAGCTATGTTGATTTGAATGTGTCTCAAGAAGTGATGCAAATGGCAAGGTTCGCTGCTCTACGTTCAACGTCAAGTAGGTTATGCTACATTGCATCAAAGACAGACGAGTCTTTCAAAACCGCAAGAGATGAGATGAAAAAACTAATAAAAGAATTAGAAAACTCGTTTGGTTTGAATCATTCAGTCAACCAGAGCATTGTAGTAAACAATGTTCGTGACCCTCAACGAAAATAACGCAAGCGAAAAGAAGTGCCGAAGAACAAGGTCGAGAAGAAAATTAGGCGATGTGGGTACTGCAACGGTGAGGGGCATAACAAACTAACATGTCCTCAAGTCAAGCTTAGTTTGAGTACAAGCACACAGCCTACATCAACTGATTTTTTCGAAGACGGAATGGAATGACAACGATCTCCATATAATATATCGTAAGTATCAACATGACTCATATTGTATGTACATATAAATATTTTGAATGAAGGAAGAAAAATCGCGTTACTTAAAATTATCGACACTTTTTTAAATGGTATCGACACATTTTTCTTCCAATATGGACATAAAGTACCGACACAATATTAAAAAGTGTCGATATAGGTTGTAGACCTATTCGCGCATAAAATCGGTATATTTATACCGGTTATATTACAAAATTATCTATTATATTATAAATCTGGGTTCCGATGTGTAAATGTCGATACTTTTTTAAATCGTATCGACACATTTTTCTTCCAATATG